CTTATAATGGAGGCAACAACAATTGGAAGTAAGTTATGAAAACTTTTGAGTATGTGACTTTAAACCTAACCCATCATTTTTCTTACGTAGATTGATGCTCACTTGGGAAGTGTAAATGATTTGGCATTCTTTTCCCCTCACAACCAACTTTTGGTCATAACTTGAGCTGATGACAAGACCGTCAAGGTTGGTTTCATAAACGTATGTGTAAGGTTTGGGTTTGTGGCCAAAGACTGTTTACTTTTGAAGGTCATGAAGCTCATGTCTGTTCTGTCTGTCCTCATACCAAAGAAAATGTCCATGTAAGGGCCACTTTGGGTATTGATGTTGTGGTTCTGGTGATGTTTAAGTTTTGAATCATCTGATTTACTTTCCGTTTCCTGCATAATATTATCCTACACTTTTTTTAATGCTACATGCCTCAGTTTGTCTTTTCAACATCAGTGGATGGCAAGATCAAAATATGGTTATATGATAGCTTTGGAGGCAATGCTGTACCAAACTGGCTCATAGTGCTGATGTTCAAAAGTTCAACTTATATGGCCTGCACTGCAAAACTGCAATTGCCATCTTTTATTTCCTAATTGATATCTTAGGGTGAATATAGTCATGTTAGTTTTGATTGAGATCATGTAGGCTTTTTTCATGTGGGATCAGCCAAGGAGGGAAACAATCAGAGTCACGAGCGACCAAGTGTAAAAACATGGATTTGTTTTTTGTTTTTGATATTAAGAGAGATTACATGAGCCTCAACTAAACCAACATCTTCCATTGCAAAAATGCGATGAAGTGAACATTAAACACCTATCAAAGACTGTTTCGATATTTGTTTTGTTCGAACTACACCAATATAAGAAATCCAGACCTTAGGTAGAAAACATTAAAGTTCGAACTTACGCCCTCATCTTGGAAGGACTTGTTCCATCAACACCACCAATAATTGAAATGCTCTTGATCTTGACATCCGTTCTAACAAAAAAAAAAAGAAAAACAAAAAGGTGAGTTTTGCTCATTAATTGGGATCAGAGAGGACCTTTCTTATAGTTTGGTAACAAAAAAAACAAAAAAAAACAAGAAATTTGTAGCTCAAGTAATTAAAGAGTATATACGCTTCCACTCTCCCCTGATAGCACTAAAACAATCCCAAGTCTCAGAGGCTGACATGAGAAGAAGAGAGCAAAATGTAGCCAAAGACAACTTGCCGGCAAACCTCAGCTGCATAAAGCAAGAGTACTGTAAATGCCGGCAAGTCATCCTTGGCTGCAATCCAATCTCTTGTGCTTCATGTAAACACTCTGAGACTGCACAAAAGAATTAATGGCTACATATGCAAACGATCTACAGTTATTGAATTTTTTTCTCCCTCACATTCACAGATGTATCTCTGATATTGATATATCAATTGCAATGCACTTGCTTCTAATTATATAGGCAGAAATGGTGATGATAGTTTCACAGTACGGAAACCAGCTTTACAGTAAAGAAAAGAAAAAGAAAAAGAAAACACTTTGCAGTGTGGATATGATTATGCCTCCCAAAGGCCATAACCAATATTCTAATATTTTTTGCAACCTTTTTGCCTCATCTGATTAGCAGAAGAAACTCAGGCTCCGCACATGATCTTTGGGCCCAACTTCACATCCACTGCATCGAATAAAGAAACATATAATAGGGATGGGCTAAATTTTTGATTGCTGTTCTCAGAATAGATTCTTAAACAAGGAAAGGGCCTGTGTGAGATGTTTGGAAGGATAACTTACTCACATACCAAGCATGGGAAGAAAATGGCACAACTTGTATTTAACGAGTATAGCCGACCGGCTATACTACGGTTTTTAAGCCGTACTGCTATACTGTTTTTGACACGTGCACACATAGGCGCTAGGCAAGTTCTGTTTTCTTTTTCCTTTTTTTTATTTTATAAATAGAATAACGCAGCTGTACTGGGCTTTTTTTTTTTAATCAAAGATAGTATAGCCGCGCGGCTATACGTGGTTTTTTATAATTTTTTAAAATAGTATAGCTGTACGGCTGTACTGGGCTTTTTTTTCCATTTTTTAAATAAAATAGTACAGCTGCTTGGCTAACTCCCCTTTTTTATCTTTTTGTTAAATAGTATAGCCGCGCGGCCTTACGGGGCTCTTTTTCTTTATAATTTTTTTAATAAATAGTATAGCCGATCGGCTATACTCTTTATGTATATATTGGGATCCTTTTTTTCTTTTAAATTTTTCCCCCTATTTTCGTTTATTGATGAGAGTGGTTTAGAGCATTATCCATTACGATTAAGCCATTACCCGAGTCTCTATTGTTCCCTTTTGGATTTTTTAATTTTCCATAGTTATTACCCGTATAAAGAATTTAGTACTTTCACATTTAATACTATATTATACATGTACACATGTATTTTTTAATAATAAATTCGTGTTTTGTACACGTCTTAAAGACTCGGTAAAATTCACATTTTTTAAAAATCAAACTTACAATACTCGTATATTACATGTACATACATATTTTTCATGTTAAATACACATATTGTTTTTTATAAATTTTAATAATATACATAAAATTCACATAATTATACACATAATTCTCAAATAATTAATTAAATAATATATAATAAAAAAAAAATTAAATTTAAAATTAAATATATTATTATATTTTTTTTTTTTTTTTTTTCATGACATAGTATAGCCGCGCGGCAATACCTTCTAAATATAACATAGTTAAAGTGCATAGCCATGCAGCTATACAATGGTTTGTTTTTAAATAAAATCGTATAGCCGTGCGGCTATATTACGGTGTTTTTCTAAATAAAATAGTATAGCCGGCCGCCTATACTGTTTTTCACACATGGGCACCTAGGCTCTAGGCAGGTTCTCTTTTCTTTTCATTTTTTTAATTTTATAAATAGTATAGCCACGCGGCGATACTTTATTTTTTCTTTTTTAAAGTAGTATACCCGCGTGGCTTTATTGGGCTCTTTTTGCACCCACAAGTATGGCTAATGTCACTATGTGGTACAAGAACCACTTCCCTACCCCGTGTCACTGCTCTCCTCTGTTTACCTTGCTCCTCCACTAATACTGGAGTAACTCGCAACATCAAGGACATTACATAAGGAATTCTATGTTACACACAACAGGTGTTATTTGTTTTTCATATACTATGCCACTAGAAGTGCATGTGCTACATATCCAGAAAGTGTCCGATTTCCAAATTTCACAGCACCACAAAAATGAGATTTTCTCGACATCCTTGTGCTTTAGTGAGTGCAGATTTTTTGTTGATTTCATTGTCCCCATGGTACCTCTTGAGATATGAAATCACTTCAAATAACTTAAAATGATTATATGGAGAAGTGATTCTTCGTAGAAATGATTATTGGCCTATCTAAAATCACTTCCAAACGAGCCCTAAATATGTATATACTTTCCCTAAGAAAGATATAAACTAGGGTTCAATACTTTATTGTTGGCGAGATCCTAGTTTGATTGGGAGATTATTTTATTAGGATTTTATTTCTTTCTCTTTTGTACAAATCTTGTGTAATTAGGAGTTTATTGTTTCCTTGTATAACCCTACTATCTTTTTCTTTTAAACCTATCTTTGTTGTGTGTTCTATTTTTCTTTTTTTTAATTCTTGCAATTTAAGTTTTCTTGAATTCATCACTCAAATCAATCAATCGTTTGTTTAATTGGGTTTAGTGTGATTTAATTAATTAAGCTATTTTTATCAGTCCTTGTGGATTCAACCTCGTACTTACATATCTCCATACTATATTATTGATTTGTGTACTTGAGAGTAATTTAATTTGTGATTTTTGAATACTTGTGTTTTAAAAATCTACATCAATTTGAACCCATCCCTATAAAAGTTCTCTTTATTCCATGCAGGGGATGTGAAATGGGCCCAAACATCTTCTGATATGGACCTGAGTTTGTTCTCCTAATCAGATTTGGAAGGTTAACGTTCCTGGTTGTGCTCTTGGTTGTTACCTCTTCCGGTAAAATACTTTACCCAAATAGTTTTACTAAAACACCCAAAATGGGGGCTGAAATTATAAAAAAACCCAACACCCAAAACATTTTATAAACACACCCAAAACCCATCATTACACACACTCAAAACCCATTTATAAACACACCCAAAAATATACATTGTTGATTTTGGGTGTGTTTCTATGTTTAAATAGTGTTTGGGTTTTTTTATAATACATGTCTAGGATTGGGTTTATTTATAAATTTGTAATAATTTTACCCAGTAGCAACAATATACAGTATGTATGTATGTATGCAAAAAAAATTGTGTGTGTGTTTTTATCTAATCTCAATTTTTACATGTATTGTTAGTAGTTTTGTAGACAAGATATTTAGTTAATAATTGAAGGAAAATTTTGTGGTAGGGATAAAATATGGAGCTGAAGCAAGGTATAAAGTAATTAGATTTCCCTGCAAATCATCATCGTCTGAATGCCCTGACCCAAACAGATGCCATTGCAGCCATACTCTCTGCATCTGTAAGCGAGAAAGACTACTGGACTTCTTTTCTCTACACAGTCGTAAGCCTACAAACACATTCCATAAGGAATATGTTAGACATTTGCGGTGTCATAGCACCAAAAAAAAATCTTGAAATAATTGGGACTTCAGGAAACGCACAGAAGTCTGAGATGTGATCAGAACTATTTGAATAAAATAAATATATAAATAACATCAAATTATGTTTACCAAAATTAAAATAAAGATGAACTTATATGTCAACAGGAGTGCACGAAATTTATATGTCCAGGATTGAGGGTTCTGCATAAGAACAATGTCATGCTCAATGGCTGGGATGTCAATGAGTGTGTTGAGGGGGGCATATACCACAGGAGAGATGCAAAGTCATGCGCCTTACTGAGGTTATAATTTCTCCACCAATTTCAATTAGTTTTGTGTTGAATGCTACGATTTTATCAACCACAAGGCTCTCACAAAAGGGAAATCGCGGAAACACGTTATGATTTAACTCCTCCAGTTGCTGCAGACAGAAAACACAAGCAAAAATTTGCATTAGAATCACAATTATAAAGTAAATTCTTCTCCCCCTCTCCAGTCTTGAGAGGCGTTAGTCCTTGAATCTCACATGAGAGAAAAGAGAGCAAACGTGAACCAAGGACAGCTTGCCAGAAGATAAACAAGTGGAAAGGCCATATGCTTTGGCAAGTCATCCTTGGCTCATATCTACTCTCCATCTCCTCATGCAAGACTCTTGAACAAATGGTATTTTTATTAATCTGAACCACTTCAGTTCATTTACATAATGCAGCGTTGTCATCGTATTTATAGCCATAGACTGCATGCAGACAACTCATACCTCAAAAATTAAAGGTATGATTCTATTCCATCGTGTGACAGTTAAAGCTCTTCCACTTTTGGAATATATGTACCTTTTTTTATGGGAAGCTCATATTTTACATCATTTTCCTTCTATATATAGTTGGAAAGAAAAGAAGGGCGTTGACTTGTTCAGATTGAGTGCTTGAGTTGAGTGGGAGCCATGCATGCATGTAGTTGTGGCATGATAAGGCATCTCTGTCTCTGCAGAGGATAAGTTCGATTTTCTCTATTTCTTTATGTGGGTTTTCTACAAAGACACTACGTACAGTAGTGCCCCGAATCATATTCTATTTAAATCTTATTAAAGTGTTTGCTAAGGATTGTATCATGATCGGGACTTTGGCCACTATTAATACATGATGTTGTGATTAATTTTGCAAGACCAGCAGCTTCCAAGTCACGTATTTTCTTAAGATGCTGCGTGGAGCAGGGTCACGGGACTACTAACACATAATCTTGAGCTATCCGCAAATAATTCACTGCTAATATAATGTAGCTTTAAATGTATATCCTTGACGACATGGTACATAACCACTAAAAATATGTAGGGTGAGAATTCGTTTTCGTGTGATCAAGAGTATACATCTACACGAACACGATCGGACACAATTATATATGTGTAACACAAGACATATAACTCGTATACTTATCCTGTACAACATAAAATATTTAGAGAAAAACAAAGTTTGACAATCCTCACATCATTATAATGAGAGTGAGTCAAACTTGGTACACAAGTGCGCCTTAAATGGTAAAAACTTGGTTTTCTTTTTTGTTACAAATAAGGCATTCAAGTACTTTAAAGTGCAATTTGGATAGCATGGCTGTATGGCACCCAACATGCTCATGTTTTACCTGACTTTTTAGAAAGAATAATGTGCAATTTCACTAAACTTTGTCAAATTTTTTGTCCTAATAAGATGGCAGAGGATTTTTATATGTGCATTTAAATCAAAAGAATGATCACCTGCAAAATTTTATAACTAAATTGCTTCTTAAACTTAATTAAAAATCTAAAGGCTTTTATATAGCCATGGTACGTACTTCTCTTTCCAATGTTAGAAGAGGTTCCAAGTTCAAACCCCTCCAAACTCAACCCTATTGATCAAAAAACCAATCAAACACTTTGTTTTAATAAAGAAAAAAAAAGTCTTATTAGGGCATCAATTTTATTTTCACTATGGAAAACTTCTTTTGAGAAACCAACGTACTTGCCATTCTAAACAAAATGATTGTGTTTCTCATTGATATAAGGTGTCCCAAACCACGTACTCTCTCTCTCAAATTTCAAGACCTCCAATCAGATTCTATATTCTGCAAAATATGATCTCCAATGCAGCATGTCAACCATATTCCCAAATCTGATCAGTGCTGACCAGAAGAGATAAATTGGTAAGGTTAATGCTAAGATGTTTTGGTGAAAACCATTGTGAAATTTGTGTTTTAGTCTCTTTTTTACTGAAAAGGATTTTAATCCAAGGAAATGAACCCTATAAATACAAGTTTTTAAGAACAAAGAAGGGACCGCACATCACGCTTTCCTTCGAAGAAGTAATCCATTTTGCTTAAGGTTTTGCTAGTCATGGCACAATTAGGGCAGGTCCATTGATTTTGAAAGCCTTGTACAAAGAGAAATATTGAGACCCCATACATGTAAGTGAAAAAATTTCACAATCAATAAATAGAACTAAACATATCCTTAGTGGCATCATTTACACCGTGGTGGTGGATTACCTCTCCTCTCCTACCCCCCACCCCCCACCCCCCGACACCCACTCAGGATTGAACCCTAGGTGGGGTTTCTTTCCTCCCATGTAATAATAACGAAGTTTATGTCTTCGGTGAAAAAATAATAATACAAAGTACATCAACATGGTATCAATAATCGATGAATGAATTAATGGTGGCGTATCAACAGCACGCTAGAACCTCTTTTTCTGGATTTAATATTATATTTGGACTTTCATATTTTATAAGATTTTTTTAGGGAATTGAAAACAAAAAGAAGCCCATTTTCTTATTTTCTTTTGTCAAAAGGCCTTTATTTTTCAGAAAGTAAAGGGCCTGTTTTGGTTTCTTTTATAAGTGGGCTTTAAAAAAATTTAGAGACTCATAAAATAATTTGGGTGGCAAAATAATTAATCAAAAAATTATGGTGTAAACCTTTTTGGAGCAAATGCAGTTGCCTTCCCTGTTTCGATAGAGGTTATAAATTGTAAACAAGACTGCAAAATAGAGGTTATAAATTGACAAAATGGAAAGCATCATCTAAACCAACAACAATGACATCCTTGAGGGCTTTCCTTGTGGCACTATAACTTACCGGCAAGATATGATGTTTTTGGAAAATATATAGGCTATTCACTTAATAAATTATGGGTCAGTTGTTGCGTTCTCAGATTTATAGGCTTTTTACACTAAAACTTACCGGTAAGATATGGTGTTTTTTGAAAATTAGGCTATTTACTTAATAACTTACTTGTAAGATGTTGCGTTCTTTGAGATATAGGCTTTTTACACTATAACTTCCCGGTAAAATATGGTGTTTTTTGAAAATTAGGCTATTATTTAATAAATTATGTGTAAGATGTTGCGTTCTAAGATATATAGGCTTTTTACACTATAACTTACCGGTAAGATATGATGTTTTTTGAAAATTAGGCAATTTACTTAAAAAATTACGGGTAAGATGTTGCGTTCTTAGATATACAGTCTTTTTACCCTATAACTTACCGGCAAGATATGGTGTTTTTGGAAAATTAGGCTATTTACTTAATAAATTAAGGGTAAGATGTTGCGTTCTCAGATTTGTAGGCTTTTTACACTATAACTTACCAGTAAGATATGGTGTTTTTGGAAACTTAGGCTATTTACTTAATAAATTACTTGCAAGATGTTGCGTTCTCTGATATATAGGCTTTTTACACTATAAATTACCGGTAAGATATGGTGTTTTTGGAAAATTAGGGTATTTAGTGAATAAATTACAGATAAGATGTTGCGTTCTTAGATATATAGGCTTTTTACACTATAACTTACCGGCAAGATATGGTGTTTTTGGAAAATTAGGCTTTTTACTCAATAAATTATGGGTAAGATGTTGCGTTATGCGTTTTACACTATAAGTTACCTATAAGATATGGTGTTTTTAGAAAAATTGGCTATTTAGTCAAAAATTACGGGTAAGATGTTGCCTTCTCAGATATATAGGCACTTTACATTACAACTTACCGATAAGACATGGTGTTTTCCGAAAAATATGCAATTCACGTAATAAATTACGGGTAAGATGTTGCGTTCTCAGATATATAGGCTTTTTACACTATAACTTACCGGTACGATATGGTGTTTATAGAAAAATAATCTATTTACTTAATAAATTACGGGTAAGATGTTGCGTTCTTAGATATATAAGCGCTTTACACTATAACTTACCGGTAAGATATGGTGTTTTTAGAAAAATAGACAATTCACTAAATAAATTACAGGTATAATGTTTCGTTCTCAGATATATAGGCCTTTTACACTATAACTTACAGTTAAGATATGGTGTTTTTGGAAAATTAGGCTATGTACTTAATAAGTTATGGGTAAGATGTAGCGTTCTTCGATATATTGGCTTTTTACACTGTAACATACCGGCAAGATATGGTGTTTATGGAAAATTAAGCTATTTACTTAATAAATTAAGGGTAAGATGTTGCGTTCTCAGATTTATTGGCTTTTTACACTATAACTTACCGGTAAGATATGGTGTTTTTGGGAAATTAGGCTATTTACTTAATAAATTACTTGTAAGATGTTGCGTTCTCTGATATATAGGCTTTTTACACTATAACTTACCGGCAAGATATGATGTTTTTGGAAAATTAGGCTATTCACTTAATAAATTATGGGTCAGATGTTGCGTTCTCAGATTTATAGGCTTTTTACACTAAAACTTACCGGTAAGATATGGTGTTTTTTGAAAATTAGGCTATTTACTTAATAACTTACTTGTAAGATGTTGCGTTCTTTGAGATATAGGCTTTTTACACTATAACTTCCCGGTAAAATATGGTGTTTTTTGAAAATTAGGCTATTATTTAATAAATTATGTGTAAGATGTTGCGTTCTAAGATATATAGGCTTTTTACACTATAACTTACCGGTAAGATATGATGTTTTTTGAAAATTAGGCAATTTACTTAAAAAATTACGGGTAAGATGTTGCCTTCTTAGATATACAGTCTTTTTACCCTATAACTTACCGGCAAGATATGGTGTTTTTGGAAAATTAGGCTATTTACTTAATAAATTAAGGGTAAGATGTTGCGTTCTCAGATTTGTAGGCTTTTTACACTATAACTTACCAGTAAGATATGGTGTTTTTGGATACTTAGGCTATTTACTTAATAAATTACTTGCAAGATGTTGCGTTCTCTGATATATAGGCTTTTTACACTATAAATTACCGGTAAGATATGGTGTTTTTGGAAAATTAGGGTATTTAGTGAATAAATTACAGATAAGATGTTGCGTTCTTAGATATATAGGCTTTTTACACTATAACTTACCGGCAAGATATGGTGTTTTTGGAAAATTAGGCTTTTTACTCAATAAATTATGGGTAAGATGTTGCGTTATGCGTTTTACACTATAAGTTACCTATAAGATATGGTGTTTTTAGAAAAATTGGCTATTTAGTCAAAAATTACGGGTAAGATGTTGCCTTCTCAGATATATAGGCACTTTACATTACAACTTACCGATAAGACATGGTGTTTTCCGAAAAATATGCAATTCACGTAATAAATTACGGGTAAGATGTTGCGTTCTAAGATATATAGGCTTTTTACGCTATAACTTACCGGTAAGATATGATGTTTTTTGAAAATTAGGCAATTTACTTAAAAAATTACGGGTAAGATGTTGCGTTCTTAGATATACAGTCTTTTACCCTATAACTTACCGGCAAGATATGGTGTTTTTGGAAAATTAGGCTATTTACTTAATAAATTAAGGGTAAGATGTTGCGTTCTCAGATTTGTAGGCTTTTTACACTATAACTTACCAGTAAGATATGGTGTTTTTGGATACTTAGGCTATTTACTTAATAAATTTACTTGCAAGATGTTGCGTTCTCTGATATATAGGCTTTTTACACTATAAATTACCGGTAAGATATGGTGTTTTTGGAAAATTAGGGTATTTAGTGAATAAATTACAGATAAGATGTTGCGTTCTTAGATATATAGGCTTTTTACACTATAACTTACCGGCAAGATATGGTGTTTTTGGAAAATTAGGCTTTTTACTCAATAAATTATGGGTAAGATGTTGCGTTATATGCGTTTTACACTATAAGTTACCTATAAGATATGGTGTTTTTAGAAAATTGGCTATTTAGTCAAAAAATTACGGGTAAGATGTTGCCTTCTCAGATATATAGGCACTTTACATTACAACTTACCGATAAGACATGGTGTTTTTCCGAAAAATATGCAATTCACGTAATAAATTACGGGTAAGATGTTGCGTTCTCAGATATATAGGCTTTTTACACTATAACTTACCGGTACGATATGGTGTTTATAGAAAAATAATCTATTTACTTAATAAATTACGGGTAAGATGTTGCGTTCTTAGATATATAGCGCTTTACACTATAACTTACCGGTAAGATATGGTGTTTTTAGAAAAATAGACAATTCACTAAATAAATTACAGGTATAATGTTTCGTTCTCAGATATATAGGCCTTTTACACTATAACTTACAGTTAAGATATGGTGTTTTTGGAAAATTAGGCTATGTACTTAATAAGTTATGGGTAAGATGTTGCGTTCTTCGATATATTGGCTTTTTACACTATAACATACCGGCAAGATATGGTGTTTTATGGAAAATTAAGCTATTTACTTAATAAATTAAGGGTAAGATGTTGCGTTCTCAGATTTATGGGCTTTTTACACTATAACTTACCGGTAAGATATGGTGTTTTTGGGAAATTAGGCTATTTACTTAATAAATTACTTGTAAGATGTTGCGTTCTCTGATATATAGGCTTTTTACACTTTTGAAAAAAAAAAAAAAAAAAAAAAAAAAAAAAAAAAAAAAAAAAAAAAAAAAAAAAAAAAAAAAAAAAAAAAAAAAAAAAAAAAAAAAAAAAAAAAAAAAAAAAAAAAAAAAAAAAAAAAAAAAAAAAAAAAAAAAAAAAAAAAAAAAAAAAAAAAAAAAAAAAAAAAAAAAAAAAAAAAAAAAAAAAAAAAAAAAAAAAAAAAAAAAAAAAAAAAAAAAAAAAAAAAAAAAAAAAAAAAAAAAAAAAAAAAAAAAAAAAAAAAAAAAAAAAAAAAAAAAAAAAAAAAAAAAAAAAAAAAAAAAAAAAAAAAAAAAAAAAAAAAAAAAAAAAAAAAAAAAAAAAAAAAAAAAAAAAAAAAAAAAAAAAAAAAAAAAAAAAAAAAAAAAAAAAATGAGAAATTTGCAAACAGAACCTACGCATATTGACAAACAAGATTTGGGAAGTTTTGGATGGGAAAAGAAAATTTCAAGAATACTGTTTGTGTTGGGTTTACCTTAAATGTTGTCATGTCAAAAATGGAGATCATCCCTCCTGTTGCTGATATGAGATATAAATCATTCTTGGACAAATCGAAGCTGGACATAGCCTCTTCAGGGTTGGTGCTGGGAAGGTCATTGTTTCCATATATTAGGGTGAACCTTGTGAGTTTGGGTAATCACTACAATTTTTGAGAGTATTCGAAGTGGATTTTGGGTAATCACTACAAATCTTTTAGTATCCATTTTGGGTCACAGGAAAAGCCCTGAAGGATGTCATTGGTCTTAGGTCAACTTAAAAAAAAAAAAAGGGTATAGCCGTTCGGCTATATGTTTAAATATATTATAAAGGGGGTATAGCCGCACGGCTATACAATTTAAAAGGACCCGCCTAGCCCGCCTAGGCGGCCGATTTTTGGAAAACTTGAATGGCGTTTTTTCTCTTCAGATTTCTTTGATCCAAAGCATCCCAAGGTCATTGTTCAAACTCAGGATCACTCTCATTGCTCTCCAAGTGTTGCAGAAGGTAGGATCAGATGAGACTTCATATGCCCAGTAATTGAAAGCTGAACTGAATCTGAAATTTAAAAAGAAAAAATTCAAAAGAAGAGATGACTCAACAATTGGGTCATTTAACCAGACCAACTCCTTCTGTAACTAAACTAATCAATACAACAAAAGGAACATGAAACTGAATCATCAGCTTCCTAGCAACCAAACATAACATAAACCAAAACAGAAAATGGAAAATACTGATTTTCAGAGACGCCTTTACGTTGTTGATAAACGTGAGTCGCTAAAACCCTAGCTTGATGTATTTGCAGGGATGCCAGATCCACCAGGAAAAAAGAAATCTAAAAAAAAAAAAACGCCATTCAAGTTTTCCAAAAATGGGCCGCCTAGGCGGGCTAGGCGGGTCCTTTTTATTTTATTTTATGAATAGTATAGCCGCACGGCTATACCTTTGAAATAATATATTTAAACAGTATGGCCGACCGGCTATACCCGTTAAATAATATATTTAAAAGGTGTAGGCGCCCGGCGGTATGCCTTAAATAATATATTTAACAGTATAGCCGGGCGGCTATACGCCTTAAAAAAACAAAAACGCTGCGGTAGAAGAAGAAGTGCTTCTCAGCCTCTTTGATTCATACTGGTTTGAACATGGAATGTTGAGCAAGAAATCCCCTTCAAAACCCCAAGAAGCAACAAACCCAAGTCTCCAAGTGGACCAATAAGCCCAAGAAGTACCAAATTTCCCCAGCCTTTCATGCTTGCCAAGGTCTCTAAGTGATGACTAATCTTTAAACACCAAAGGGAGCCTCTTCTCTTCTGATTCTCTCTCCCCACACTCAATCCTCATGAGCACCACACCAAATTCCAAACAGTTTTCTCTGGTAAACAAGTCATAGAGTTCTCCAAACAAAGTGTGAAACAAGAACAAGTACCAGCAGCTCAGACAAAAAGGGTCTATGGTCATGGTGAAAGAAACAGAAGTAGAAGAAGAGTAGGGCCCAGCAAGAGCTTGTCTGACCCGGAGTTTGATGAGCTCAAGGGTTTTATGGATTTGAGTTTTGTGTTCACTGAGGAAGACAAGGTTCGAAATTGGTTTCCATAATTCCTGGTTTGCAAAGGCTTGGAAGTTTTGGGGAACAAGATAGAGCTGAAGAGGATCAGAGAAATAATAATAATAATAATATTGATCCAAGTAGTCATCATGTGGTTTCAAGTCCTTATCTGTCTGACGCCGATGCTTTGGATCAAAGAAATCTGAAGAAAAAAAAACGCCATTCAAGTTTTCCAAAAATTGGCCGCCTAGGCGGGCTAGGCGGGTACTTTTTATTTTATTTTATAAATTGTATAGCCGCGCGGCTATACTCTTTAAATAATATATTTAAAAAGTATGGTCGCTAGGCTATACTCCTTTAATAATATATTTGAAAGGTATAGCCGATCGGCTGTACTATAATTAAACCGTACAGCGCCACGGCTGTCCTTAAATAATATATTAAATAGTATAGCCGCTCGGCTAGACCCTTTTTTTTCTTTTTTTCTTTCATTGCTATCTAAGCGAAGGGAACTACAATAATGTTACAGATAGAACACAAGCCCAGATCAGCTAATTACTGATCCATCACTTGCTCCATTAACAGTTTTATCTGTTTGTCGAATAACAAAGTGATCAACAATTTTAACGGTATTTAACAGTGTAGACTTATTTGTTGTGGCTGTCTTGGCTCCCTGTCCCATTCAGGGTCTAGCTTTCACTCTTTCGGGACCTGCATGTTTAATTAGCTTTAAACTCTTGAAATTGAACACGCATCACATTCTTACCTTATCAACTGCAAGAGTGTAGACTTCAAGATCACCGTCACTTTTGATGTGGAATCGGGTGAATGACTTGTAATTAGCAATTCAAAGGGAGGAGAAGGCTTCGTCAAAGTGTATGTGAAGCCAGTTAATTCAGATATATAATTAACTTCCAAGTACTGAAGAAACTACAGGAGTTGAGAACACCCAGAAATAAAGGAAGACGGAAGCATAATAGATTATGGCACCCGCTCTAGATAGTGATTCCATCCCATTCTTGCATATATTGTTTCGGGTGACAGCCATAACCTGATAAGATTTCTTCATCGTCAGAATGCAACAAAGAAGAGTAAAAATAAGTTTGCAAAAGAGCTTTCCATACGTCTGGAACATCTAATGCAGACATGAAATACTTGATGCATGCTGGATGAAGGCCAAAAGTCCATTGTTCTATTCGAGCTCGAAGGCCAGTTGGATCTGGAAAGTGCTCACTCTCCACCAATCGGTACCACTGATACAAAGTATGATAGCCTGAAAATTAAAATTTTCATCATCATACAACATACAATCCAACAACATAATTTGCATATTTTCCCTCCATCATATACATTGTATCCCAATGTCGTATGGCTATCTTTTTAGGCAATTCTCAACAGAAACAAAAATGATTGAATTATCTGAAAGTTAAAATAATAGATGAACAAATATAACAGGCAAGGACAGAATAACCGCCAAGATCATAAATCACATTAGTATACAGGATGAGAAAGGTGTGCTTCTTCTCTGTTCATGTAGGTCTTGAAAATGGTAAACGAGACTTAAAGCTGACCTGAAGTTCCCAGTAGTTTATGCTGGATACACATCTCAACACCCAGTTCCAACAGTACGTAACATAAGAATCAGTGCTGCAGCCAGGTGTTCAGACACATGAAGAACTCCAATTAATCATCAATCGTTTCTTCCGAGACACTTTAGAGGGGACAAATATAACTGCTACAATTAGCAACACCACAGCACCTGCTACAGATACATAAGACTGCCCCAGCATGTATCTGTAGCAGAACCAAGAGTTGAGAGGAAATAAACAAAGAAGTGAACTTTCTATAGACACCCTGACAGACTATGAAATTGCAAAACTTCAAAACCGAAACTTGCCCTGCTTGAATCTTCAAATGAAGGACAAGCTGCTTTGCTCTCATTAGAAGCTCCATAAAATTTCTTAAAATGACTAAAGGTGTGGGTGGGATGTAGAAAAGCCCCACCACAACCATTTACAAGTAAATGTTGCACATGAACTGGGTCCTCCGTTTTAACAAATGAATGACGCATATAATATTAACAAAAAGCAGCCGAGTACAGCCGACCGGCTATACTATTTTAAAACAAACAGCAAGAACAACCGAGTATAGCCCCTTGAGCCCACGTTTCGAAATATGCATAGCCGCCCAGCTACACTATTTTAAAAAAAACAATAGAAAAAAGCGAGTATCGCCGCCCGGCTATACTATTTATACGCGTAAGAAAAGACCCCCACTGCGATTAGGTGCCCACGTGTCAAATTTTTTTTAAAAAATGTGGAAAAAAAGCGAGTACAGCCGGCCGGCTAGACTATGTTTGAAAAAACAAAATCAGAAAAATAATTTCCTTTTATTAAAAAAAAGGGACCACTTTACAACTTATAAGTTAGGTCACTATACAATATTTTAATATATATTATTTTTATTCAATAACAGGTGAGAATTATTTGTATAATACGTTAATTCTATATATATATATTATTTTTATCAATAATAGGTGAGAATTATTGTATAATATGTTATTCTATGTGTCTTATTGAAACTTTTGTTAAAAAATACGTGTATTAAGCATGAAAAATACATGCGTACATGTACACTATTAAACGTGAAAGTGCTAAATTCTTTGTTCGGGTAATTACTCTGGGTGTCTTAAACTACTCTTATCGATAATCGGGGAAAAATATTTAAAAGAAAAAAGGATCCCATTAAATTACTTATTTTCGTTTGGGTGTCTTAATTAAATTTATCCAGATCCCAAGAGCCCCAAGGAACAAGGCCCTAGTCTTTGATTGATATAACTATTATTAATCAAAGTCGAGCCTACAGCCCAGCCCATTAGCCCAACTTTCCAATGTTAACCACACTTACCAAACCATCTTAATGCTTTGTTTGTAAATACCTTTATAGGAGTGTGGATTTTCGATATGGAATTTTCACAAAAAAGGGCACCTCAAAAGATAAGCCTACATATAAATCCTTATTTTTATTGTTGGTGCAATGTGGAAATATATTTAAACAATATAGTCATGCGACTATACTCTAAAAATTGAAAAATTGAATTACTATTTATTGAGTAATATAACTCATGAAGTTAATTAAAATATTAATACTAATTATCACTAAAGAAATAATAAATAAAATAAGACAAAGATACTATTTAATTAATAAAATAAAATTTTAAAAAATTAATTAACCTAAACATACTAAGTTTATATTTATTTAATATTTAAAAAATCTGTTCCAATGAAAGTTCGTCGGCAGATTTCTATCCCGGCGAAATTTGCCAGATTAGACATTTCCAGACAAAACTTCGTAGGCAGAAGTAACTTTCGTCGGGAGAGGTTTTTTACTTTCTTAAAAAGAAAAACCGAGTACAGCCGACCGGCCATACTATTTTTAAAACAAAAAGCCAAAAAACCGAGTATAGCCGTGCGGCGATACTATGTGAAAAAAGTGGACCCCCTTGCGCCCCAGGTCAAAATAAGTATAACAGACCGGCTATACAAACTTAGAAAAAGAAAATAGAAAAAAGCAAGTATAGCCGCCCGGCTATACCCTTTTTCCAAAAAAAAACCCGAGTTAGCCGTCGGCTATACTATTTTGTAAAAGGAAGAGGACCCCCTTCGATTAGACGCCCATGTGTCAAAAAAAGTATCTCCGCCCGGCTATACTATTTCAAAATATTAAAAAAAGCAAGTATAGCCGCCCGGCTATACTGTTTTTACAAAAATGTCGTTGCCTCCATTATAAGAATATAATTCCACAATGTGCTTTGCATATGCAACCCCTGTTCAATGAAGAAGACGACGGCACTGAATATGAACTACAAGAAATGAAAATCAGCAACTACATACCATTTAAGTATGAGAACATTCTCACCAAATATAGAACCATCAGGACTCCATCGGATATACATTTAACAAATACATATGAATCTTTGACCAGAGCTTCCTGAAATAATTGGTATTGGTTCAAATTTCGGATCATATCAGTAAGGTTGAAAGAGTAGTGCATAATCCAGAAGTAGACGCACCTTTAAGGCCATCGGGCCTGTGTCAAGATTCCAGACTCTAAAATTTCTCAAAAGCAACTTTTCCCCGGAACTAACATCCCATGGTGGTCCTATATGTCCAACACAAGTTCCAACTGAAGAATCACATTAGCAGGATTCATGAGTGAACTGTCAAAAGAAGTTACCGCACACGATCATCCTAAAAAGACAGGAAATTTATAACGATGGGAGAAAAGAAAAAAGAACATAGTTTCTCATTACTTAACATAGAAGAATTGTCTGCCAAATGGGATGAAAATCCGTGCTCATTGGAGATGAGCTCTCATTTAGTGTCAGGGCAACAGTAGTGGGCAAACCATTGGGTATGGCAACTGTGGACATGTGACTTTGGCCAGGATCAGTAACAGTTGATTTTACCTAAACAAATGAAAGAAAACCAAGGTCAAGAAACACAAGTTCTATTATGTAATTTTGTACATAAATTTGATTCAGATTACCTCATCCGAAATCGGAAACAAGATTTTTTTGGACAAACATGGATAGTCAATAACCTCTATAGCTGTAGCCACAAAAATGTATCCAAAAGTTAATAATAACAACTATGCAATGTATAAAATGACGACACACTTCAAACATAAATTAGAGGGTACCAGTACCCAACAACATCACTTGAAGAACTAAAATAAAATACCTGGGCTCTTTGCAGCATTGAGAGATACTGCTCCCGGAGAGAGCGCATCTTGTGTTACAGATAAATTTTTGGCTCAGCAGAAGAAGTTTGGAAGTGAATTTGGTGTTGCCTGTGAAGGATAAATACATAAGGTTAGTGTGGCTGATGAGCAGGAAGCATTGGTTAATGGGGACCAATAAGAAAAGAATTTCAGTTTACCAGAACATATGTTACTTGCAAACTGTTCCCAGTCGATAGAGACAAAGACAAACAGTCCTGCCATTCACAAACATGATCAATGAAAAGGGTTTCAATAACATGAAACTGTGGAGTTCGTAAATCATAGTTTGCACCATCAAACTGTGGAGTTCGTAAATCTCCACCTGAAGAACCTGATCCCACCATTTTTATGTGAGTCTCAGTGAACCACACAATAAAAGAGCAACCTTTATCCCTTTTAGGAATTTCAGGAAAGACCTCTCTCTCACAGCTCACGCCCCTCTCCGGAATCAAACCAGGAGCTCTGATACCATGTTCAATTAGTATCAAGCTTAATACTTTAGGTTGAAAACAGAAGCTGAAACCTATAGGAGAAATACACCTCAGAGAAAGAAGGATAGAAGAAAACAGAGGATTTGAATGTTTCAGTATATATCTCTATCAGAAAACGCAGAGGTATTACATGACTACATTCCTATCTCAGTCAAAAAACAGACCCTAGTTTTTAGGGAGCAAGGACTCATCTCCAGCCATTCAAACCATAGGAGGCTACGATCTTTCCACTTGGAGAAAGATCGGATGACCCAGTACAAACCAAATAGGGACAAAAATAACAGCTGTGCTGGTTTCTAAAAACAGAAATAAAGCTGTTACAAATTTAAACTAACGGCTATTTAAAAAGAAAAACTAATTCTTCATCTCTTCAATTCCAATCTGCAGGATTGTCATCTGCTGGTTGATTTAAGCTGAGCATGCAGCTTAATTCTCAACACTGAGTGGAGATTGTATATTACAATGGTGGAATTGTCCATGCCAATAGCAACTATACTGTCATCTCGGGGGTGAAAAGCAAGACATGTTGCCACAGGTGGTGGTGGCATGACTTTTTTCATTGTCTGCGTTTTTACGCAACAGATGTTTATGAGCACAATGAGTTAGATCATGAGAAATTTGCAAACAGAACCTACGCATATTGACAAACAAGATTTGGGAAGTTTTGGATGGGAAAAGAAAATTTCAAGAATACTATTTTGTGTTGGGTTTATCTTAAATGTTGTCATGTCAAAAATGGAGATCATCCCTCCTGTTGCTGATATGAGAGATGAATCATTCTTGGACAAATCAAAGCAGGACATAGCCTCTTCAGGGTTGGACGAGGGTTTTTACACTGTTTATGCTGCCAATTCAAGCTGTCAAGTTAAACACACAAGTCAGTCTCTCTCCCAATTACAAAAACCAGAAAGTGACTAAATCTTTTACTAAATATGAGAATAACAAGTACTCTCTCTCACACACAAACGCGCACACGCATATGTATGAACATATGCAATCACAAAATAGAAAGGAAGACCAAAACTAGGAGGAAGCATTACCTTTGGTTAATGAGATTATTTAATCTATGACTTTTGATGCTAGGATACTTCAGTTTGCCACGGAAAACTGGATTTGCCTCAGTTATTTGCCTCAGTTCTTTCATCATAGTCTTCCTCATGGACATTATATCTCCGCATATAGAGGGTGCCTTATGATCCCTGTTGGATTGAACCCATACACATGTGATGCATTTCTTTGAACAGCTCCTCATTACCTTCGGCAAAAATTTTGAGATCCTTCATGAGGATATCTAATGCCTTGGCGTGACAATTGCTGTCAACAATGAACCAAAAACTTGCAGAACATGGTATTTTTTAAGAGATTGTTTATGTATAGATTATAAGAAGCTTAAAAAAAATGATGTTCTCACTTGTCAATGGCCTCAAGGAAAGGCTAGTGACTCTTTTGGCGTGACCCTCAAGATTCCTTGTAACCTGCAAAATATATAAATCGAGGCAATGACAAACTTTTCAGGTTTGCTTCATCACAACATCGAGCATTATTTGTTTTTTTTACAAGAACAAACAAACTACCTCGTCTGAGTGGAGATTGTATATTACAATGGTGGAATTGTCCATGCCAATACCAACTATACTGTCATCTCGGGGGTGAAAAGCAAGACATGTTGCCACAGGTGGCGGTGGCATGACTTTTTTCATTGTCTGCGTTTTTACGCAACAGATGTTTATGAGTACAATGAGTTAGATCATGAGAAATTTGCAAACAGAACCTACGCATATTGACAAACAAGATTTGGGAAGTTTTGGGTGGGAAAAGAAAATTTCAAGAATACTATTTGTGTTGGGTTTACCTTAAATGTTGTCATGTAAAAAATGGAGATCATCCCTCCTGTTGCTGATATGAGAGATGAATCATTCTTGGACAAATCAAAGCAGGACATAGCCTCTTCAGGGTTGGTGCTGGGAAGGTCATTGTTCATCAGCTCTAAGCCACTCCTTGGTTTCCATAAATTAGGGTGAACCTTGTGAATTTGGGTAATCACTACAATTTTTTTAGTATCCATTTTGGGTCCATATTTCCTGAATTGTGAAGTAATTGGCAATTCTGGTAGGTTGGTGCCATAGGAAAAGCCCTGAAGGATGTCATTATCCTTCCTTGTTAACGGTTCGAGCCTTTTTTCTTGCCTTTTCCAGTCTTTGGCACCTGCACTGCATACACACACACACAAAAAAAAAAAAAAAAAAAAAAAAAAAAGATCACACAAATATTACAAGAAATGAAGATCTACCAACCAACATAAAAGAGGACAGAACTGAATAGTGGAACAAAACACGAGAGAAAAATAAAAGGGGTTTCAGAATGAGAATTAATCGGGGGCCCATCTCTTCTTTTGTTTTTTTTTTCCTTCAACATATAAATGCAATTTTCCTTCTCAAACCCTAACTCTAACAAGAGCCGTCTTCCAGCCCCTCTCTCTCGCTCAGACTTCTTCTTCAATCCTCATCTCTCTGTCTCTCGCTCATAGCACCATCGTTATCTCTTCCCTGACCTTGGAGATTCCAAAATGGCGTTTTTTTTTTCAAGGCGCAGCGCCCGCCTAGACCGCCTAGACCCCGCCTAGCGACCGCCTAGCCCGCCTAGCCCGCCTAGCCCGCCGAACCCCCGCCCAGAACATAGAGATCTTGGCCACCATCTGCATATACCCTCATGTCGCCCGCCTAGACCGCCTAGAGGCCGCCTAGACCGCCTAGCGAGCCTAGCTCCAGCCCAGCCCGCCTAGCCCGCCTAGTCCCAGCCTAGCCCCCGCCTAAAACATAGAGATCTTGGCCACCATCTGCATATACCCTCATGTCCATTGGCTCCCCAAATCACATGACGCAACCTCTCCCTCCGTTTGAAATCTCCATGTAACAATAAGCAGTGCAAGAACAGTTCTCCAAACACTTCTCTTTACATGCCTCAAGGCTCATGTCCCCATCCACAAATGCACCCCCACTCTCAGGCAATTTCACGCTCCTGTCTTGTGGGGGGAGGGATTGGGTGAATATAGTGTTTTCTAATTGATGTTGTCTATGCCACAATGCAGGCTGCATCCCTCAAAGAAAAGATTAACCGAATGTTTGGTGGAGATTCAAGTTTATCTTCCTTTGGTCGAGTATTATGTGGATAAATATGGAATTAAAATGCTAATTTAAACACTTTTTATCTGCAATTAGCAAGAAGTGTTTCCTATTTATTTATTTATTTTAAATTTATTTTTCGGATTTAGGGGAAGGGATTAAAATTTGGAACCTCTTCCAACAAAGTGGAGAGAACTAGCAGTAGAACAATAGCTAGTTGGATGAGGTAATCTGAATCAAATTTGGTCCAAGGGATGCAGTTATACAGAGTGATGGGGAAAATGTGGTCCTAGATGTTTGGGAAGTTCTGGACAAGATCCATGCTTGTCCAAAAAAATGTTCTTTCCGATTTTGGATGAGGTAATCTGAATCAAATTTATGTACAGAATTACATAATAGAACTTGTGTTTCTTGACCTTGGTCTTCTTTCATTTGTTTAGGTAAAATCAACTGTTACTGATCCTGGCCAAAGTCACATGTGCCATACCCAATGTTTTATTTAATTTTTTTTTAAAAAGGGTGGTATAGCCGTCCGGCTATACTTTTAAATATATTATTTAAGGCATACCGCTGCGCGGCTACACCCTTTAAATATATTATTTAAGGAGTATAGCCGCTCGGCTGTACTATTTATAAAATAAAATAAAAAGGACCCGCCTAGCCCGCCTAGGCGGCCGATTTTTGGAAAACTTGAATGGCGTATTTTTTCTTCAGATTTCTTTTTCCCTGGCGAGTCTGGCATCTCTGCAAATACATCAAGCTAGGGTTTTAGCAACTCACGTTTATCAACAACGTAAAGGCGTCTCTGAAAATCAGTATTTTCCATTTTCTGTTTTGGTTTATGTTATGTTTGGTTGCTAGGAAGCTGATGATGAACAAATATTCTCTTACCTAAATATTCAGTTTCATGTTTCTTTTGTTGTATTCATTAGTTTGGTTACAAACTGAGTTGGTCTGGTTAAATGACCCAAAAGGAGTATGCTGCTTTCTGGGGCTCCAATTGTTGAGTCATCTCTTATTTTGAATTTTTTCTTTTTAAATTTCATTTTTGTCAATTCTCAGTAATGTAATCTGGGTGAAATGCAACTTTGGGATCCGTAAGATGGGCAGGAAGAGTAAATAAAAAACTCCCAGAGAGAGGCAAGATAATACGGCTGCTGTAGAAGAGGAAAAACCCTCATCTTGGGCCAAAAAATTGCTGAATCATTGGTTGAGATTCAGTTCAGGTTTACCATATACTTTGGTTTTAACTTATGTTTCAATTACTGGGCTTATGAAGTCTCATCTGATCCTACTTTCTGCAACAGGAACACTTGGAGAGCAATGAGGGTGATCCTGAGTTACTTGTTTACGTTCCGCGTGAGTATCCACTTTTGTTGTTTTATGTGTTATTTTCAGGGCATGAGTTAAAGTATGCATAAACATGAAATGGATGGGGACAGGGAGATCCACTAGTTGTAGCCATTTTTCCATATTTTCATTCAATTTCAATGGTAACATGTTTTGTTAGATCTCCATAGTTGTACTCATACAGGATCTGTATGAGTTTTGAGTATGGGATTCAACCTTAGTAGCATCTCCAGGTTCACCTATAAAACAAACATAACACTTAATAGTGAGTTTGACGGGATACCGTTGGACTACTCACGGCAACGTGCCATGCCTGAAACCTTGGAAATTGGCAGAGGTGGGGTTGGCCCATTCGTAACTAGTGGTCTTGTGGGGGGAAGGGATTGGGTGAATATAGTGTTTTCTAATTGATGTTGTCTATCCCTCAAAGAAAAGATTAACCGAATGTTTGGTGGAGATTCAAGTTTATCTTCCTTTGGTCGAGTATTATGTGGATGAATATGGAACTAAAATGCTAATTTAAACACTTTTTATCTGCAATTAGCAAGAAGTGTTTCCTATTTAAAATAAATAAATATATTTTTCGGATCTGGGGGAAGGGATTAAAATTTGGAACCTCTTCCAACAAAGTGGAGAGAACTAGCAGTAGAACAATAGCTAGTGGGTGTCTCCTAATTAAAATTAGGATGCCCAAATTTCTGACCTTTTAACTGTCTGAAATCACAAAAAACTTGTATTTGATAGCTTTATAGGATTTATGGTAAAGATGAGACCAGCTTATTTGTGAAACCATTATCATGTGATTCTTTTGCATTCTGTTTTTCTTTTTCTGGGTGGTGCCTTCAGATAAACAGCACATAAAATAGATCAGTGCTTCATGTAGCTCTTCATGCTCCAAGGGATGCAGTTATACAGAGTGATGGGGAAGTTCTGGACAAGATCCAAAAGTTTTCTGAGAGTATTCGAAGTAGATTTTGGATAATCACTACAATTGTTTTTAGTATCCATTTTGGGTCCATATTGCCTGAATTGTGAAGGAATTGGCAATTCTGGTAGGTTGGTGCCACAGGAAAAGCCCTCAAGGATGTCATTGTTGTTGGTATCAGTGGCAGCTCCTTAGGTCCTCTTCAAACAGGTTTAGATGATGCTTTCCATTTTGTCAATTTATAACCTCTATTTTGCAGTCTTGTTTACTATTCACTGGTTTGATTACATTTTGTAGATCCAGTGGCTATCGAAACAGTAAGGGGAAGGCAACTGCATTTGTAAGTACTTATGTATCAACTTTTAGGGTGCTTCTATTTTATAGAGCATTTGCTCCAAAATGGTTTACACCATAATTTTTTGATTAATTATTTTGCCACCCAAATTATTTTATGAGTCTCTAAATTTTTTTAAAGCCACTTATAAAAGAAGCCAAAAAGGCCCTTTACTTATCATATTTCACTTTCCGAAAAATAAAGGCCTTTTGACAAAAGAAAATAAGAAAATGGGCTTCTTTTTGTTTTCAATTCCCTAACAAAATCTTATAAAATATGAAAGTCCAAATATAATATTAAATCCAGAAAAAGAGGTTCTAGCGTGCTGTTGATACACCACCATTAATTCATTCATCGATTATTGATACCATGTTGATGTACTTTGTATTATTATCTTTTCACCGAAGACATAGCTTCGTTATTATTACATTGGAGGAAAGAAACCCCACCCAAGGTTCAATCCTGGGTGGGTGCCGGGGGGTGGGGGGTAGGAGAGGAGAGGTAATCCACCACCACCGTGTAAATGTTGCCACTAAGGATATGTTTAGTTCTATTTATTGATTGTGAAATTTTTTTCACTTACATATATGGGGTCTCAATATTTCTCTTTGTACAGGCCTTTCAAAATCAATGGACCTGCCCTAATTGTGCCATGACTAGCAAAACCCTAAGCAAAATGGATTACTTCTTCGAAGGAAAGATACGTTGAAAAGCTATTACTTCTACTCATAGAAAGCAGTAAAATTTAATAAAGAAAGCGTGATGTGCGGTCCCTTCTATGTTCTTAAAAACTTGTATTTATAGGGTTCATTTCCTTGGATTAAAATCCTTTTCAGTAAAAAAGAGACTAAAACACAAATTTCACAATGGTTTTTCACCAAAACATCTTAGCATTAACCTTACCAATTGATCTAAATGATACTGTTAGTGAGCAGGTACCTACCTCTGGACATTTACAACTAATAAATAAGAAATTCATATGTGAATTCCACATCTCGTATGTCATGGCATTGCATGGAACGAAGAGAGCCCAACATAGCCAAGAACAAATTGCCGGTCGACAAATATAGATTGCATTTTGAGGCGTATATATACAATGCCGGCAATTCATCCTTGGCTCAGTTTCTATTATTTTCCATGCAATGCTTTAGAAAAATCATTGCTTGCCCATCTAAGTTTCCATTCACTACTACATTTTACTATTTGCGCGACGAATGAAAATTTGTCGCGCAAAAGACACTTCAGTGACGGAAAAAAAAATTCCTCGCCCAAAAAGATGGAAACATGCGCGACGAAAATTTTGGTCGCGCAAAGAACCTTAGCGCGACAAACAAATGATTCGTCGCGCAAAGTGGGGAAGAAAAACCCGGGTTTATTTTTTTGGCGCCAAACATTTGCGCGACAAACATTTTCGTCGCGCATAGTAACTTCGCGCGACAAAGAAAGATTCGTCACGCAAAGTGGGGAAAGAAAATCGGGTTTCTTAAAAACTTGTATTTATAGCGTTCATTTCCTTGGATTAAAATCCTTTTCAGTAAAAAAGAGACTAAAACACGAATTTCACAATGG